TTTCCACCTGCCTGAGTCCACAAAGCTCTTTGACCGGTTTCAAGTGGGTCTCCTTTTTAGCTCTCTCCCTCAAGCGTCCAGCACTGTACGCAGTTACGGATCATTTTTATGTCTGGCAGAGGTCCAAAGCAACCAACACTTTGAACAAGTGGTGAGGGAACAATTGGTGTGAGCTGCCAAAACGCACAAACAACATCTCTACTTCCCACCGTTTCAGAAATGAACTTGAAATGGATCGTGTACCTAAATGTGAAGCCTAGAGCGAAACATTTGTAGAAGAAAACCTGGGTGACTTTCGGATTAGTCAAAAATGTCTTAGATGCTAAGGAATTAGAGTCAGAAATATGGGGACGGTGGTGTTTGTGGAGTCAGCTTTATAGGATCTGGGAAACCCTTCTTCCCAGTGGGAAATCACTATACATACATAGTCCCGTTGATAATGTAAGTGAAGAAACGTTTGCGAACGAGTAACAGGTGCTCTACCTGCTGGGAGTCCTTGAGCCCAACGTTTCCGCTTCGCGGAGTTTAGTAGATAAGTCTGGAAGCATGGTGGCGGGCTCGGGAAAAGGCTAGTGTAGCGGGGCTTGAATGTTGTAATATCTTGCCAGTCCTATTCAAGTTTCAGTAGCCATAACAAGAGTGGGCTACTAGTTTTTGTTCGGGAGGTGGCGTCGTGTAAGTAAAGGAGAAATTTCTGCGGGAAGTGGGTTTTGAAAGCAAATACGTTGCCCTTCCCTGTTCTCTCCATGCAGCGCCCTCCTTTGTTGCTGGAGCATAGTCAATCTCAGAAGTCCATTGCAAAGTCATTGTTGGACTTCTGCTCAAAATGCTGTGTGTACCTTTGGGGGAAACTCATTCGGACCTTGAAGTACGATTGTATGTTTAACTCAGTTTTATTTGTTTTTTGAGTATTTTATGATGACCACCTGCTAACTAGAAATCATGAGGTCTCAAACCACTCAACGTGACGTCTGGGAATTGCTTGTATAGTTATATTATGTATTTTTTTATTTTGTGTTTGGTTTTTTTGTTTTTTAACCATTCATTCTTCAAAGATTTTATTTAGTTATTTAGAGAGAGCAAGGCCGTGCTCCGGAGCTCACGTGAGCAGGGGGAGGGGCAGAAGGAGAAAGAATCTCAAGCCAACTCTGAGCTGAGCCCAGAGCCCGACGCGGGGCTCGATCCCTGTTCCCTGAGATCGGGACCTGAGCCAAAATTAAGGGTCGGACGCTTAAGTGACTGAGCCACCCAGGCGCCCCTATTTTGTTTTTTAAGTAATCTCTGTGCCCAAGGAAGGGCTTGAACTCACTACCCTGAGATCAAGACTCCAATGCTCCCGACTGAGCCAGCCAGGCGCCCCAACATTATATATATATTTTTTAAAGATTTTATTTATTTGACAAAGGGAAACAGCAAGAGAGGGAACACAAGCAGGGGGAGAGGGAGAAGCAGGCTTCCTGCTGAGCAGGGAGCCCGGTGTGGGGCTCCATCCCAGGACCCTGGGCTCATGACCTGAGCCAAAGGCAGACGCTTAATGGCAGCCACCCCAGCACCCCTGTATGTTTTTATTTTTGGAATATAACAGGTTAGCTTCCTGACGTTTCTCTTTCCCATGAACTTTGCAGGTCCAGAGGTTGATTTTTACAAACAGTCCTCTCTGTACTAGGTATTGTACTAGTGATCTGGTTTTTACTGTGTAGTCCTAGAGATGAGAAACGGGGTAAAAAGAAGAGAAAATTGATTTAGTTCGTGTAAGCTTCCTGAACCTCTCCCCAGAGCCAGGACCAGGAATGTGCTTTAATGTCTCCTGGTCATCACTCCTTCCATTCCCCACTTTTTTTTTTTTTTTTTTTAAGTTTTGTTTTTTTTCTTTTTTTTTTTTTTGTAATCTCTATACCCAATGTGAGGCTCAAACTGAGAATTCCAAGAATCAAAAGTAGCATGCTTATCCAGCTGAGCCAGCCAGGCACCTGTTCCCCGTTGTTCCCCACTTTTTTTTTAATGTTTTATGTATTTAGGGGCACCTGGGTGGCTCAGGTCATGATCCCAGGGTCCTGGGATCGAGCCCTGCATCGGGATCTCTGCTCGTCAGGGAGCCTGCTTCCTCCTCTCTTTCTGCCTGCTTCTTTGCCTACCTGTGATCTCTGTCAAATAAATAAATACATAATCTTTTAAAAAATGTTTTATATATTTATTTATTTGTCAGAGAGAGAGAGAGAGAGAGAGAGAGAAAGCACAAGCAGGGGGGCGGACACACCCCCCCCCCCCCCCAACGCAAGGAGCTGATTGCAGGATTCAATCCCAGGACCCTGGGACCATGACCTGAGCTGAAGGCAGACGCTTAACCGCCTGAGCCACCCAAGTGCCCCTCTTTCCCCACCTTTAAAATACCACTTAATCAGACACGGGGCCTCCTGAATTTCCCTTCTCATCTCTCAATCACTTTAGTGATTTTTTTGTTTATTTTTAAAGATGGTATTTATTCGTTTGAGAGAGAGGGAGCGTGAGTGAGCATGAGTAGGGGGAGAGGGACAAGTAGACTCATCTCTGAGCACGGAACCCAGCACAGGGCCCTATCCCGGGACCCTGAGATCATGACCTGAGCCACCGAGGAGCCCCTCTGAATCATTTGAAATATGCAGAGAGATGTTTCTGCACGGGCTTCCGTAGAGATGGCTGAAATTCCACAATGAAGGTGTATGAAGGTCTGTTGTAACATTTTATCCTGGTCAGTTCAACTGCCCAGAGTGGTTAGCTGTACTGAAAGACCCAGAGTTTTGGTTTTCTCTTGTGTAACAAATCACCCCAGAATTTAACCATTTAAAACAGCGATTGTGTATTTGACTCACAAACGTGCAGTTTGGGCAGTGCCCTGTGTGATGGCGTCTGGGACGGTTACCTGGGGCTAGAGGGTCTACTTCGCAGGTGGCCTGCTCACATGGCCGGTAAGTCCGTGCCTGCTCCTGCCTGGCAGCTTGGTCAGGACCCTCAGGACCTCCCCCCACACGCCTCCACTCCCGCCCCGCCCGGGGCTGCTTGAGCTTCCTTACAGCATGGAGGACAGGCAGTGGGTCTGCTGGTCTGGTAAGCTCTGGGCCCTGAAGTTGGGGCATTGTCACTACAGAGTCTTCCCAAATCTGAGGGAAGGGGAACATAGAATCCACTTTTTACTTTTTCTTTTTTCTCACAGCCCTGAGGTCATGATCTGAGCTGAAACCAAGAGTTGGATGCTTAACTGACTGAGCCACCCAGGTGCCCCTAGACTCCACTACTTTTTTTTTATATGATTTTATTTATTTACTTGAGAGAGAGCGCACGTGAAGGAGGAGAGGGAGAAGCAGGCTCCCTGCTGATGCGGGGCTCAGTCCCATGATCCTGGAATCACGACCTGAGCCAAAGGCAGACGCTTCACCGACTGAGCCACCCAGGCGCCCCTAGACTCCGCTTCTTGGTGGGAAAAGTTTTTAAAGCATCTGCAGCCATCTTTTAATCAACCACACCCATTCATTGTTGAGTCACATAAACTCACCTGCCTTCTTATTTCGGAATCTGTGACGATTCTTCATCTGAACAGCAAAAGGATGCTGCCTTCTGGCCACAATTTTTAAAAGACCCTACAAGAAAGATCAGTCGTGATCATCTTTATGAGTAGAAGCAGGAATAGCTTTGGGGAGAAGAGTTGCCATGGTGATAGGACTTTCCGTCCTCTGCTGGACTGCTAATCATAAGGGGACTGAAGTTCCTAAAGAAAAATAGGCCAGAGAAACAGGTCTTAGGGGATAAACAGTCCTAACACCAGATGCTGGCACATTTGTTCTGTAACAGGTCAGGTAGTAAATACTTCGGGCTTGGCAGGCCCATGTCCCCTCTGTCGCCGCTGCATCTCGTGGCTGTGTAGGTTAGAAGTCTGTTATGCGTTGCTGCATTCCCTTCCGGAGGCTCTGGGGAGAAGCCATTCGCTTGCCTTTCTCAGCCTGGAGAGGCTGCCAGCAGCCCTTGGTTTCTTCCGTCTTCAGAGCCAACCATGCAGCACCTTTCTCCCCCTGCCTCAGACCTCCTGTCTCTCTAACCTTTTCTGTCTTCCTGTCCCATTTAAAGGACCCTTGTGATTGCATTGTGCCAACTTGAATAATCTCCGGGAAATCTCCCTATTTTAAGGTCAGCTGGTCAATAACCTTAATTCTAGCTATATAATTCCGCGATTTCCAAATTGGCCTTATTCCGCAGTTGACAGGATATTCACAAGGGAATTACGGTTAGCTCCTTAGAACTCAAAATAGGAGGGGGCATATAGAATTCTGTCTCTCTCTTCATACTCTTTCCATTCACAGCAGAGAACGTAGAAAAACAGGACCCCTGTTATCAGAACTGACTTGCAGATCAGTTCAACTTGAAAGACTTCATTTTTGTGTTCCAATTAATTCTAGTTGAAGTCGGGTAGAAGCGTCTGTGGATTCAACATACTGCTGCATGGTGTCGGAAATGTCGACTCATTTTAAAAGTTTTAGAAACAGTTGGCTTTGTTGATAAAGCAGTATCATTGGGTATAATTGGCTTCTGATAGTAGAAGAGATAAGGGTAGTTATTTATGTGCCTCACTTATAATTTTAAAGTAAGAGTCTTTCTATTTCTTCTCAGGGTGAGCCCATTGCAGACCATCTTACTGTACTGTGACATGCTTTCCTAATCATCATGCTAGGCAAAATCATACAATAAAAAGCACAGGGTTTATGGGAAAACTGGGGTTGGACCAGCACTCAAACTTCTTCCGTAACTTGCTTTAAGAAGATGGGATACAACAGAAATGGTGAAAACGCTACACATACTGAAGGTTTAAACAGTAATGGGATGCCTGGGTGGCTCAGTTGGTTAAGTGTCTGCCTTTGGTTCAGGTCATGATCACAGGGTCCTAGGATCAAGGCCCACATCAGGCTCCCTGCTCAGCAGGAAGCCTGCTTCTCCCTCACCTTCTGCCCCTGCCCCCTGGTTGTGCTCCCCCCAATAAATAATTGTTTAAAAAAATACATAAACACTGTAGTAAGTATGACACTTTCCACTGAAGAAGACCTACAGCTTCCTTGTGGAAGCAGGTCTCTGAAGGGTCATAGCTTTGGGGTTCTTGTGAGGCGATGGGGGGAGGGTGATTGAAGGCATGTGGGGAATGGTGATACCAGATGTGGATGGGTGTGGCTGTGGTCCTCGTGGGGAGGGTGCGTGCGCACATGTGCCAAGTATTTCTCAGTGGTTCCATTCAACTGGGGGCAGTGCGGTTTTCTGCCTTCTCATCTCAGGATGAAAGGTGGTGTGGAAGCAAATGCAGAATTCGTATTATGCTCCAGGTATCAATTGTGGAAAAATGTAGCACAGCCGAGGGTCTCCTTGGTTCCTGGCACTGCTCTGGGAAGGACCTGCCCCAGCACACAGCGCTATTTCCCTTTTCTTCCCATGGGAAGGCGCGTGCCAGGGATGGGCTGGCTCGCTGTTGTCTTGAACACTCACCATTCTCTACCCAAAACGCAGGTTTTCCAACATGCAGTTTTCAGAGACTTTTGAAGCTCCTCTTTACTCTTTCTCCAGAAGCTACTGGAGGATGCCAACCAGCCAAACGAAGAAGTACAGCAAGAAAGAGGATACAGGAAGTGGGGGATTGAGTGTGGGGGAAGGGTTGGTGGGATTCCTCGCACCCCCCTGGGGGGGCGGCACCTGTGCAGAGGCAGAAGGAGAACCCCGGGGCAGCCAGTGGTGGGAGAAGACACGGCAGGACAGTGAGCTGGAGATGGCGCTTGCCACCGACGTCGTGGGAATGTAGATGGTCAGGCTAGTGTTTCCGCTGGAATTTGTCTTCACTACTTAGAAAACTTAGCAGGTGAAAACGTAAGGCGATAGACTCCAGGGAAGACAGATCAGCAAAAGCTATGTGTAAGAGGGAAATCTAACCTTGGATTGAAGTTTGCTTTATGGCTCAACTCGGAATAGCCCTTACAGAGTTCCAAGTAGCCGTCCTGTTTGGTTGGAAGGTTGCTGCCGGCGCTGCAGGTGACGCGGGTGCGGGGTATGGGGCTTAGTTCGCTCCTCGTCTGCATAGCTAGACGCCAGCACGTGGTGCCGGAAGTGCAAACTCAAGATGAAGCCAGAGAAACGAACTGATGGAGACTTGACGATAAATGCCTGAGAGCCGCAGCCGGAGTTGACGTGGGTTGCCTCTGAGATGTTTGCGACGAGCCTTACAGAATGACGAGAACTTTTTAAGCAATGCGTTTATGGAACTTTAATAAAAGCAAAGCTCAGTATACTGTTTAGCAGAAAGAGGTAAATATGGCAGGACTGAGACATATTTCCGGCGAGTGTAGAAGATCCTCTGCTATGTGAGAAAGCGCGGCTTGCCTGGGGTCCTCAGAGGGCCTTTGGGAACCTTGTTTTTGCCACGGTTCCCGCCCTTCCCAGATAGGAACAGCTCGCTCTGCCTAACTGTGCGAGCGATGTGCTTAATGTGGAACCCCTGGGGGTCTGGGATCTTGGTCCGGGCCAGGCAGATAGAGCCCATGGGACCCCCCAGCTGCACCCCCCCGCCCCTCCCCCTGGTACGAGCCTGGGCACTGATGAGCTTCCGTGGCGGACAGCACTTGGGGCATATTGTCACCGTGCGTCGCTTGGGGGGTGAAGCTTACACCTACTTGCCCGCGGAGTTTGCTCCTCACCCCTTTCCCTTCGCCTCTTTTGTTCTGCATCCTTTGGCTGTGGGAGGTCCTAGCCATGAGTGCCACTGTACGGGGAATCCTTGCCCCACAGTTGTGCTCCAGGGGACCTCCGAGACGCAAGCCTGCTTCGCCGTTAGCGCTTTTTCTTTTCCTAGTGTGGAGATTGGTGAAAGCGTGAGGGGTGAAGATGTCTACATCATCCAGAGTGGCTGCGGGGAGATCAACGACAACCTCATGGAGCTCCTCATCATGATCAACGCGTGCAAGATTGCGTCGTCGTCCAGGGTGACCGCTGTGATCCCGTGTTTTCCATACGCCCGACAGGATAAAAAGGACAAGGTAGGAGGCTTGCGTCCATTGGCAGAACCTATTCTGGGGTAACATCTGCGTTTTTCCCCCTTACATATTACCTTATAACATCTGGGAAGATGTTTGCTTTCTATTTTAATGATCGAGTACATAAGCCTTCTCATCTGGGCTTTTCAAAGGTCTGTCTTTGAACCAGCCATCATGTTCATATTTATAGATAGAGATACAGACAAGGCATGTGTTTCCAGGCATTATGATAGCATATAGCCCTGGTGATGAAATTGTTGTGTATCTTTAATGGTGGTGGATGGAACTGGACCCCCACCCCCCACCCCTGCGTGAGTACGTTAATCTGGGGAAGTGGAATCCCATTACTGGGCTGAATCAATGCCAGTATTTTGGTTGGGATTCTGTACTCTAGTTTTGCATATGTTGCTATGGGGAGAAAATGGGTAAAGGGCCCAACCAGATCTCTGAATTGTTTCTTACAATTGCATATGAATCTACAGGTCTTGGAAAAGAAAAACATTCATTTAAAAAATACACCTCTTTTTTTGGGTGGGGGGTGGCTCCTGGGTGGCTCAGTGGGTTAAGCCTCTGCCTTCAGCTCAGGTCATGATCTCAAGGTCCTGGGATCGAGCCCCACATCGGACTCTGTGCTTGGCAGTGAGCCTGCTTCTCCCTCTCTCTCTGCCTGCCTCTCTGTCTACTTGTGACCTCTCTCTCTCTCTGTCAAATAAATAAATAAAATCTTTTAAAAAAATAAAAAATAAAAAATACAACTCTTTTTAACCTTTCACAAAGAACGAAGTTAGTATTGTTGACTTTTTCTTTTAGCAACATTAGCACTATAGGAGGCTGTGTGAGTTTCTAGAAGAAATTAAAATAGTCCTTGCCTTCGCAGAACATCAGAGAAGTTGGGATTGGAGGGGCACTTTGGAGGGGATTGTCTTGGTTTGCCAGGGCTGGTGCAGCAAATCACCATAAACTGGGTGGCCTAAAACAACAGAAACCTGTTCTGTCACGATTTGGGGGCCAGGCATCAGAAAACAGGGTCGCATCAGGGTTGCGCTCCTTGTGAAGACTCAGGCGGGGGTAGGGGGAGCCGCCTTTGCTTCTTCTGGTTTCTGGTGGCTCCTCGCATTCCTTGGCTTCTGGTGGCATCACTCCCATCTCGCAGCTTTCTTCCCTGTTTCTGTGTGTCCTTCCCTCTTTTTTAAAAGGGTGGTCATTGGATTAGGACCCACCCTTATCTGGAGTAATCTCATTTTGATCCTTACCCTTAATTAACCCTTTACCCATTTTGATCTTTACTCTCTAGTCCTATCTGTAGGCACCCTCTTTTTAAATGAGGTCACATGCCAAGGTTCTGGGTAGATGCGTTTTGGGGGGCTATCACTCAAAGCACGATAGCCATCGGCTCTTAAACTGTTAACGTGCTTTCTGTCTTACGGATGGCTAGAGGCTCCTCAGGTTCTCCACGAATCCTTCCAATGGACAAGACACATGGCTGTTCTGTGACGTGACTAATCATGCCAGACGTTTCCCCCAATACACCTCTGTTTATCTCCCTAATTCATTTTATGAAACAACACACATTTCCAAACAGCACACAAGATTCCCTCCTATATGGAAAAAAAATCCCTTTATAGATTTGAATTCCTATACCAAGATCCCCCTACATTTTAATGCCTCTTCCGGTGTGGTTCCCAGACCCCATGCTGAACACAGCTGTCAGCTAATTTCTCCCTAGAAATTGGTCTCCAGAACTCCATTCTGCAATTGAGTTATGATTTACCCTGCATGGATTAGACCGGGTCGGCAAACTTTCTATAAAGGGGTGTACGGTCTCTGTGGTAGCAGCTGAACTCTGGTGTATCTCAGAGACACAGATGATGTATAAATAGTGGGTGTGGCTGTATTCCAATGAAACTTGTATGTCTGGACAGTGAAACGTGAATTTCATGTAATTGACACATGCCGTGAAATGTTCTTTTGATTATTTTCCCCCCTGGCTGTTCAGTCATGTAAAAACGATTATTGGTTCTTGAGCAGTACGCGCGTGAGCGTGTGACTTTGTGACTGTGTGACTTTGTGACTGTGTGTGTGTCACTCGGCAATGGAGCTTTAGCTAAGGGCCCCCAAAACCTTTAGGTCACATCGGTGGCCATGAAGCACATAACCTCCCCCTTGTTATTGAGGAAGGATTTTTTATTCTAACTTGATTGGAAAGTTTTCTGTGCATTTTTATCTCCAGAATTTCTGTTGATTTTTGTCCCATCCGCACAGTCTTTTGTTCTGTTTGTGTATGTCGTAGCTTTGTAGTACATCTTCACTTTTGTCCACGTCCTAAAGGAGCCAGTGATACTCTGCACTTTCTCTTTCGTGTAGCAAGAGGCTTAGCGAGTTCTGTATTCTGTCATTTGCCATCAGGTTCTCCTTTCACTTCTAGTGACTTTGGCATTTGGTGCTCAGATAGGGGATTGTATCTTCTCGAGTAATTGATTCCTTTTACTGTTCCATGGCCCCTGTTCTGGGCCCACTGCCCCGGGGAGGGGAGCCCTAACTTCTCCTTAACCGATACCAGTGGACACTCTTATGGTTTTTGTTTGTAAGTATCCAGTCTGTTTCCAGGGTGGCATTTTCAAACTTTGTTGCTCATGTTTTTTCCTAATGAAGTCTTCGTCCTGCAGAGAAACTAGCCCTGCTTGGCCCTGGCCCTTGACGGGGACCTGTCTCCCACCTTAGGGGGAATGTGGCCACTGCTGGCCAGCAGTGTTCCCTGCCACCCTACGCAGTTTTTCCACTGCCACCCTACGCAGTTTTTCCACGAGCCAGCAGTGCGGCCGCAGCTTCTCACCAGCTCTTTGTCCTGGTTCCCACTGGCCGTCATTGGGGCGGGTATTCCTTTCAGGGCCCTTTTGAACACCTGTCTTTCTTTCCTTTCCCTCTTTGTGAATCACTTTGCTCTAAGTGTGTTTCTTGGAAACAACCTGGTAGCTCTTTTTGTGTTTAACCCGCATCAGACAGTTCCAGACTTCCGAGCTTAACTGCTGATGGAGGAGATAAGACGTTCATTGTCAACCACGCAGGGAGGTGGACGCAGGGTTGAGAGGCCACACAGATAGCAGCAGAGGGAGCCCTGAGGGCAGAAATTGTGTGGCTTATTGTCGGAGAAAACTGGTGAGGAGAGAAGGAATGGTGGAGGGCTGTGTTCAGTTTGTGTTGCTGTTGTAGTAAATGACTAAATGGGGGGGTGGGGTGGGGGGGCACATAGAACGACAGAAATGTTGTCTCACCATTCTGGGGGCCAGAGGTCAAAAATCACGGTGTGGCAGAGCCAGGTGTGTCCGGAGGCCTAGGGGAGGATCCTTCTGGCCTCTGTGGCTTGGAGAGGCTGCCTGGTTCCTTCCCTTGAGGCCACATCCCTCCAGCCTGTTTGTGTCTTCACTTGGCTTCTTACCTCCGTGAAATCTCCCTCTTGAAGTGCGCATAACCAGGGGTCTAGGCTAATGCTTAAGAGAAATGGCCCGAGCCTGTGAGCAAACTGTGTTTATCAGTAACTGGGCTGAGCTGAGACCCAGAATGAGGGGAAACCCTTCTTCCCCCTTTGTGCTCTGCTTAGGTAGGCTGAAGGCCGTGCAGTGTTGGAATGTGACAGGATGGCATGGACCACACTTGCATCCCCCGCGGCCCCCGCACGCCCCAAACCCGGGTTTCTCTTGTCCTGTTCTTTCCCGCAGGACGGTGCAGCCTGTGATGTCTGAGACAAAAGGAAATCCAGGGTAATTGACCTTTTCGGAGTTATGTGCAGAGAAGCCCAGAAAAAGCTAGAGGCTTTTATTCATATTTAAAACCTGCTTCTTTGGGGCACCTGGGTGGCTCAGTCGTTGGGCGTCTGCCTTCAGCTCAGGTCATGATCCTAGGGTCCTGGGATCGAGCCCCGCATTGGGCTCCTTGCTCAGTGGAAGCCTGCTTCTGCCTCTCTCACTACCCCGGCTTGTGTTCCCTCTCTCACTCTGTCTCTCTGTCAGATAAATAAATCTTAAAAAAAAAAAATAAAAAAAACCTTTATTTTGAATCTTACTGCTTCTTTTTTTAAGCAAGCCCCGCACATCTGTAAAATTTTATTTTTGGCTTCATTGGTATGTGCAAGAAACCAGGGCCTAGTTCCGGCAGTGAAGGAACGGTTTCATAAATCATGACGCGTCAGCACATGCGGTGCCGTCCCGGAGAAGGGAAGGTGACGTAGTATGAATCGTAAAACGCATCGTGTCACATTGCCTGAGTTCCGGGGTTACAGCTTTGGAAACAGGCGGACTCAGGTTTGAATTTCAGCATCATGATTCACTCAGCTCATCCTTTCTTTGTAATGGTAGCTTAAACTCTGTGTGTGTTTAGTTTTCTCATCTGTAAATGGAAGGATAGCATTTGCTACTATTTCTGACATGCTGTGCCTACAACAAATACATAGGTAGGCAGACTTTTTTCCAAAAAGAGCCAGGTGTCAAATTTTAAGACTTGGTGGACCACCAGATCTCTTCAACTAGGTCAGCTCCACCATTCTGGCACAAAAGCAGCCATACGTAAGCGAAGGGGTATCTGTTTGCGTTCCCGTAAAGTTTTGTTTATGGATGCAGGAATGGGAATTACTTTTTTTTTCCTTAATTTTTTTTTTTAAAGATTTTTCTTATTTATTCGACAGAAAGAGAGAAAGAGAAGAGAGAGAGAGGAGAGGCAGGCCCCCCGCGGAGCAGGTTTCCATC